GTGTACTCAGTGCTTCTGTATGGAGTAGAAACGTGGACATTGAAGGCGGAAACTCTATCAAAACTTCAGGCTTTTGAATTATGGTTATACAGAAGAATCCTAAAGATACCTTGGACAGACAAAATCACCCATGAAGAAGTACTGCGGAGGATGAACACAACCGCGGATTTGGTCAACATTGTGAAGAGCCGTAAGCTGGAGTACTTGGGACATATAATGAGAAATCAAGGCAGATACGAGCTACTCCAATGCATTTTGCAAGTAAAATTGAAGGAAAAAGAGCCCCAGGACGAAGAAGAATATCCTGGCTTGCTAACCTGAGAGCATGGTATAGAAAGACCTCAACACATACTCAACAAAGTCATCATAGCCAGAATGATCGCCAACGTTAGGAACGGACAGGCACCCTAAGAAGAAGAAGATTACTTTAGAAGGATTAGGAGGTAAAGGAGTAAATATCTATTCTTTAACCAGCAAGGGTAGGTGATCCGACGTAATAGAATCCCAGGAAGCATTCATCGTCAAGTGGGTCAATCACATCGTATGTACACACGATATGATCACCGTCGACAAGCCCTGGTGACCCACAAAAGTCGGTTCACGGTTACGTATACGGTGTAGAGGGAGGTTAATGAGCAGATCCGAAAAATCATTGCCTGCACGGTTCGTAACCGTGTCGCCAAATTGAATATGCCTGGCGTTAAAGTCTCCGAGTATGATTGCCTTATTCAGACTAGAGACATAATCAAATAATGTCCCGGACAAGGGTTGAGCAGGATGTTTGTAATAAGAGACTAGTGTGAGTGTTGTGTGATTATCAAGGTGGATGTCAACTGCCAGGAGGTCTTCATCATTGAGGTTAATATGTGGAGGGATAGTGTGAGGGGAAAAAGGGATACCGTATTTAATCAGAAAGCCAATACCGTGAGATATTTGGCTGCGAGGGCGGTGAAGTGTGCAATAACCGGGAAAAATGGGGTCGTTTTTAGAAAGGGTGTCGGAGAGGGCAAGGATTTGTATATTATGATGTTGTAGGATGTGTTTGATGAAGGGGCGTTTTCTCGCAACACCCTGGCAGTTTACAGCACCTAGCGAACTGACCAATACAATTTCAGGAAGGAGATGAAGTCTCTGTTGTTATGGGCCACGAGAGTACTCTTGTGACCGAACATCAGAGTGGAAATATGGTTAGTGATATTCAGAATAAGCTGTTGCCTATCCGGAAGGAGATTTATAAGGATAAGGGAGGTAAATTCAATGACTGCCTTCATGTCAGAAGACAGTTCGTAGGGAGGGTCTCGTTTTTCAGTTGTTATAGGCTGGGTCTCTTGTAGGATTTTTGGGATTTACCTTCTGTGGGGACATTTGACCGAATAGGCCACATGTTCACCACCATAGTTGGGGCATTTGGGTATCTAAGGTGTGGGACAGGAAGTGGATTTATGGTCCTGGCCGCAAGTAGGGCACCTGTACTGTTTTTGCAGGCACTCCAAATGGTATGCCCGTTTTGACTGCACCGGCCGCAATATTTTGGCACAGGGAGGACAGGGTTGGAATTAAAAGGGAGCTCAACACACGAAGTTTGACGAAGGTGGTGGGAAGATTACTACGGGAAATTTCCGTCATAGTTTAACTACAGGGATGCCATTTCCGTAAATCTGTGGGTGAGGTCGGCATCAGAGTAGATTTCATCTACACCTTTGACGACCACCATGAAAGAAGGATAGTTAGGACTGTTGCTAGTGTTTTTAGGAGACGATATTTTTTAGGAGTGATTTGTACTTTAGGATCACCCAACGCGTCACGGAGTCTTCGTTGGACGTCGACGTGATTAATTGAGTGAGGGGTGGTTAGATGTGCTATTTGGATAGAAAGGACTTTGACTGGTGTGATTAGGTTTAGTAGGAGCTCTCTAGTGTTGATGATTCTAAAAAAAATTTCTTAGTGTTAATTTCTCCAGAGGAATATGGGTCATAGTATAATTAAAGGATTTAGGTTATGAGGTGGTGGAAATAGGGGTATCAGGTAGAGTCTGAGGTCTAGGTGTGTGAATAGCCGTCACATAAGTCGGGTTATGACTTTAAGGTGGGTTGAGGTTATTGGTTTGTGAAGATGAGGGTTACATTTGACTGATTTGTGTAGTGGATGTGTTTTGTTGGATGTTTGCTTGGGTAGTAGTGGGAAGGAAGTAGGATTAGGGGTGGAGGATGACCGGGACAGCTGCAGACGCGCGATCAACCGGTCGATTTGTCTCAGGAAGTGTGGTTGCTAGTCCTCGACATGTTGTAGTGCAACATTCATCAAAGGTGTGGTAATCTTTTCAGGTATATGTATTGTAGGTATGGTGTATGTAGGTATTATGTGCTGTGAGAATGATTGGTTTGGTGACAATGGAAGAGGTGATATGGGATTTTGTGTAGAGTATTGTGTAGGAAGAGGTGGAAACGCCATGAGATCGCCATGGTTTGTGTGATTTGTGATAGAAGTGTTAGCTGCAATAGGAGGAGGGTCAGGAGGTTCGACAGGGCTCGGTTTATTTGACCTATTAGAGCGGGTCGAACGTAGCATTACGATGTGGAACACTAGGTAACACCCTTTTATCACTACTTTGTGCAATGTAGCGAAAGGCAGGTGGCCGGACTATACAAACTCTAGATTAAGCTGTCGGTCCCACGTTGTGTAACTTATCTATGGATATTAATTACGGTAACTATTTCAATTCCCTACAGTTACCATTTACTGGAACTGATAACTATGTAGAATCTTCGCTATGTTTATTAATTGTTTTAGAAAGTGATAGCACTCGAACAGTTCAGAAAAAACAACCCTTAATTGGAAGCTTACAGCCCCAGCAATAGCGTACGTAGGTGGCCTTTTCTTACAACAACCACCCACTATGCCTGCACCATGACCGGCAGAATCTCCAAAAAAGAAAATGTATAACTAACCTGAACGAGTATTCAAACACTATACTCACAATCCTTGTCTTCTTTCTTCTTTTTATCCTTCTAGCACAATACAGGATATGAGGTCGGAACCAGTCGTCCCACCTCTCAAACGGAACCCCGGCTACAGCGTACGTGGGTGGCCTTTTCTTACTGCAACCACCCACTATGCATTCACCGTGACCAACAGAATCTCCGTAAAACCGACAAGAGCACTAATCCACAAAAATATCCGCACAAAATATCACCAGTTTTTGAAGATCTTCAATTTTTTTTTGCTAAGATCACAGTGTCGTCCGCATATCTAATGTTACTAATGGGAACTCCATTTACCTTTATTCCAGCTGTTTTAGCCTCAAAAGCGTTTTTCAGGGTCTCTTCAGAGTGCGCATTAAAAAGAATTGGCGACGCATCCCTGTCTTACTCCACATCTAATTTTTCTTTGATTTCTTTGATCAAATTCTTTGATTTCAGGATATTCGTAAATTGTTTATATCGTACTTTATCGAATGCTCTATGATAGTCAATAAACCATGCGTATATATCTTAATTGACATCCAAGCATCTTTGTATCAGTATATTAAATAAAAAAAGAGTTTCACGCGTTCCTAGGCCTTTGTGAAAACCAAATTGTGTATCATTAACGTCTATGTCCAGTTAGTGATATATTCGGTTATGGATTAATTTAGTAGTAACTTAAGCACATGAGAGATCAAGCTAATGGTACGGTAATCGCTGCTTTCTCTTGTCTTTTTCTTTTTGGGGAAACAAATAAAAATCTACGTTAAATACTCTTTGGGTAATACGCCTAAACTATAATGTATTGGTATATATGTTATGTTAATTTTTAGTCCTTTTTCTATTCGAATAAAATTTTACCAAAATCTCGATTTGGATTTGCATCAGATACAATACAAATTTAGACGAAGAATTCGAAGACAATCTGGCAATGCTTAACACTTGGCCTCGTTCAGAAGGTTCATAAACAGCCAGGTGGCAGTATAATAGTATAGAGTGACGTCAATCTTGGTGAAAGAACCAATCTTGTTTGTCTGGAACGGCTTCTTAACGCAACAGACCACTATGACAGTATTTTCGAACCTATTGTTATACCATTTGCATAACAAGCTGTTTCCCAATTTAAATTATTGCGCAACAATGTGCGTCAGCGTACTTTCAGGGTTGTGCGTCTGGCAGTATGCAATATTTCTCGAAGATAATAAAATTAAGGTTTTACCATGGCCTGCACAATTGCCAGATTTGAACCCAATTGATCATGTATCGAACATATTAGACAGATGGATTTTACAACAAAATATTGCGTTTAATACAAGACAGTAACTATTTGAGGGCCTTTCAATGAAGTGAAGTGAAACCGTGAAGGCCATATACTGTAGTAACTTAATCCAAAGATCACTTTATTAGGAGTTGCTCACAAAATTAGTTTTTAATTTTTTTTGGTTACCATTTTTTGCCTTATGCCTTTTTGGAGTTGTTTTTAATTTTCGTAAAATCTATTACAATTTATTTTATATTCGGGATACTTGTCTATAACTTTTTATTACAAGTATTTAAAATAAATTATGTAAAATCCTTCTGTAATCTCCGTAATTTTTATTTTTGTCCCCGAGAGTATTTTGATGTGTGTATAAAGCTGTAGTGACAAAAATGAATGATTTTGAGTATTAATTAGTGAATTTTTAAAACTAGCACAGAGTTATAAGAGTATAATAATTTCCCATTAAAAAATTAATTTTCCAACCATCTTAACAAACCCAAAACTAACAACACACAAACTTTCTGGTTTGATAAATACCAATGAATGATCATATCACTTCCACATTTTCCTTTTTTAAGTTTATTAGTTTTCTTCATATGTTCTTCAAAATATTTATATCTTGTGTTAAAATCAGTAATAAAGATAATCCTATTCTAAGCTTTTAAATAAATTAAATTAGACTGCCACTTTTTCATTTTCTTTTATCTTTGACTAATTTACTTAACTATGCTTTGTGATCAAGCACATGCCAGCTGTTAAACAATATGTTGTTTTAGATTTGAAACTAATGACCCAATCAAACGTAATGAAGCCGGAAAAATCCAACAAGTTTCCCAAGAAGAAAGCAACTACCAAGTAAACGGTGACTTTGCATTTAATTTCCCAGAAGGAGTTTCATTCCAAACTGTTTTCGTAGCCGATGAACAAGGTTACAGGCCAAAAGTATCCTTCGGTCAAGCAAGAGTTTAAAAAATATTAAAGTTGTAAATAAAGAATTATGTAAATTTTGTAAAAAAAATATAATATACAAATTAAAAAATATAACAAATATAATAATAGTGTCATTTCCATTACACAACTTTGCTAATGTAGACCGTGTTTAATATTTCATTGCACCTTAAGCTCTTAGTAAATACTTATACAAATTATTTTTAATTATGTAGACATACAAAGGTACTACAAAAAGTGCCCCAACCAGATATAATTCATCAGATAATAAAAACGAGATAATGTTAACCTATTTGTTGATGGTATTATTACCAACCTAAAAAATGTTGGTAATTTAGTTTTTTTCTCTCATGTGAAATTCTTCCACAATTTTTATCATTTTAGTCCCTGTTTATAGCCGCAGTTTTCTAATTTAATTTATCATTTTTTGTAGATCTTCCCCTCACAATTTTAGCCATATCTTGCGTGATCGTACTCTTCTTTTCTTTCCTTTACCACGCAGCAGGGTGTCCTTTGTCCATATTCTATGTTGACTTCTTGCTACGCGGTTCAACCTTTTATGAATTTTTGATCTGACTATCCTGCTAATTTCTGTGTTCTCGTAAAGCTAGCTGATTATAACAGCAAATGTATGTACATATATATATATATATATATATATATATATATATATATATATATATATATATATATATATATATATTGTTACAGATTACTGAAGGTAATTCTACAGGGTAAAGTATTCAAAAAGCGAGGAATTGGGAGAAGGAGAATATCATGGTTGAAGAACCTGAGGAAATGGTTCTCCACAACAACAACGAATCTATTTAAAGCATCAGTTAATAAAATAATTATAGCCAGAATGATTGCCAATATTCAGAACGAATAGGCACTGAAAGAAGAAGATATATATTGTTATGATGTGTTGTTTCTGTATGAGCTATGAGTAAATTTGAATGATATGTAAGTATAGGGTTTTTATCGCGGTTCTCAAAGAATTAGTTTGTAAGTACTTTTTTAAATTATCTTTATTATAACTATTATGAAACAAACATATTTATCTAATATAAGCAATATCAATTTAAAACAATCTATCTAAAATTTGAAATTCTTACAATTATTAAATTATTAACAAAATTTGGTACCTTTCTATCACTGAACGCCTAAAGTTTTTCCAAAATTAAAGTTATTATCACCACTCGATATTTTCTTAATCAGCCTTGGTTATCCAACAATGTTAATATGTTTCTTCTTAATTATCTCCACTCACCATATAAATAGATAAATTTAAATCCTTATAATTTCCATATAATGTACTTTCAAATATACTGGATCTTGTGGTTGTATTATTGAATGCTTACTTCAATGACTTAACTTCATACTTAATTAATTTATTTAACTTAATCAATGCCTTCTTCTAGCTAATAATCTCTTCATAACCTCATAAATTCTTGTTAATTCTTCTTTGTAATTAATAATCACATGTAACTGACTTAATAATCCTTGAATTCTTAAATTATTCAAACTAATTCATTTAATAATTGACTGCAACTTCTTGTAACTTGAATTCTAACTTTTCTGACTGATTAACTAACTGATACCAACTGACTAACTCCTCTAACTGAACTTACTAACTGATCAATAATCTTCTTGTAACTAAATTCTTGATATAAATACCTTTACTGACTCACTTTACTAACTGATTAATCAACTGTAACTAATCATAATCTGTAACTAACTAACTTAACTTCTAACTGATAACTGAACTTCCGCTCCAAATTACATGGTTTATGTATCTTTTCCTGGTTCCAGAATAATCTAGCAATAAAATAAGGTTCGAATCATTCTATTTTTTCTATCTGAATATTCTGGAATAAATGGAATGGTTTTTGTCTATGATGTATTATGCAAATAGTCCTATTGACGTTTCTAGAACTTTCTCTGTTCTACATGTACAATTTACTTGACTTTTAGGCTCTCCAGATCAGAATTACACTATTATATGTAACTTAACATTTATCAAATATATTACCATTTCACATCCGCAATTATATTTTAAATTAACATTCCAAAAATAAATAACTTTTTCACTTTGACACTACAGTGTATGTTTGGTTGCATATGCACATGGCTGACTTAAACATATCTAATATTAAATAAAATAAAAAAAAACTTCTTAAACTTAATTCTTATGCTAAATTCTTAAAAATGCCCTCATATAATTATTTTTTAATAATATTATCTAGTATATAACTTATAAATTATGTCTTTAATTACTATTTAAATAAATTTATTAATTAACATTGTATATCTGGTTGTATATACACATCGCTGAGTTAAATATATTTCTATGTTAATTTATTGTTTTTCTGTTCTCATTACAATATATATATATATATATATATATATATATATATACATATATATATATATATATATATATATATATTGAAATGATTTCAATAGGTCAAAGAGGATATAACTTAAAGGGATTTTTATATGAGTTTGTTGTTCATGAATTTCATGAAGCCATCACAATGTGGGGTCGACTCTGAAATAAAAGGGAGAAAAGATTAGTAAATTGCTAAATAAATTAATTTTGACTTACCTGGTATAGTGTTAATAATTTCTGAATAGTATAGTTGCCTAGTGTATAGGTGAATCGTCTAAACCTTAAAAGGAATAAAAAAGAAGAATTCTTAAAAAATTATTTAAACATAGAAATTTCAAAAATAAACGTCAGAAAAATAAACTGTCAAAAGTCTGTGGGAACTAAATTAATAGGGGTTTTGTTAAATAAATTACAATGATGTGGAGATGAAAAGAATAAATTATATTAGTATTGTTAAGTTTTATATCTGAATTTTTTTTTTATAAATTCCCAAATTAGATGTGATTAAAGTGCTTATGAGAAATTAATGTGGTTTGACAAATATGTCAAAACAGGACAGTTTTATGGTTGAATAAAATAGAAGACGGAATGAAAAAAGAAAGGGGGTTGCTGTTAGCAACGAATAATTTTGGTTGGTGCTAGCTATGGCGGTTAACAAGGAAGAATAGGTTGTTGGAGGCGACGAAAATTTTGGAGGAAGAGCCCTAAAAAGGTGGAATAGTCCGGGAGTGCTTTAAAATCGTTTAATTATAATTTAGTTTTTCCACATTTTCAAATAGAGATATCCAGAATTTGTTCCAGAGAGTAAGAGAAATTTTGACTTATAAATTATAATTGGAGTGCAGAAATGTCATTTAGATTGAAAAAGTAAAAATTCATGAATTAACTAATTGCGATAGGCCTTAAAAATTGAAATATTAATGATCATTAAAATAAAAATATAATAGTACGTACCTTTAACTTCCGAAGAGAGGATAGATATTCCAGTATCACCGATTATTTTGCGAGTAGTTAGTTTTCTTTAAAAAAAAAATCAGAACTGTTTGAAAGTGAGTTTGGATAATAATTTTGGGGATCATTTGAAATTTTGATTATATTTTAATGCTAGTTATAAGTCAGCGGCATAAAGTGTTCAGTTTTCTTTTCTTTATATTTCATTTAAACACTTTATAAAGTTGCAATAGTCATTTAGATTTAAGGTAATTGTAGAGAGTTTCCACATTTTGTAATCAAATTCTATTTTCACGACACATTAAGGTTTACACGATTCCTATTTTTGTAAATTTTTAAAGGCAACCCAAGTTGCAGACGAATTTTATTGTTTATATTAAATTTGTTCAATATTAATAAATAACGTGCTTCATTTGGGTTAATTTATCAAAAATATAAAGTAAATTTTGGTTTAATTTCTTTTTGAACTCTACCAGGAGACTACAGAGTTGACGTCACACAGTGACAGATTGCTTAGAACAAATAATTGAGCTAGCCGAGGTATAGTATATTAACAACGAACTACATACTTTTAAAATTCACTTCAATTCAATTAAAATTATATTTATTAACAATAAAACATAAAAAATTATAAAAACAAAACTATTACAATTGGCGCTAACAACGTGGAGCCTCTGGGAAAACAGAAATAAGGGTGTAATTTTTAAGCAGATTTATTAATAATACACAGATTAAAATAAAAACAAATTGGTGTGATTAGAGTTGTAGAGATTCTGGGGTAGTTAAAGTTAAATTTGAGAATAAATAGAGATAAGGATAAAATGGCAGACCGAATGACTTTAAGAAATGGAAAAGAAATCGTACCGAAAGAGAGTGAAGGAGAACAGGTGTTAGAACAGGAACAGGGTATACAGGTAGATGAAGAAAGCAGAGGAGGATCAGGAGAATTTGTAGTACAATATTTAGAGCAAGGCAGACAAGAAGCAGGACAAGGTGATAGAGAGGGAAGTCTAACAGATAGTTTGAGAGAGGAGTTGGATGAGACAGTGAGAGATAGACGTGATGAAAGTGTGGATGAATGTAGAGTGCAGGAGGAGAGACGTAGGGAAGGAGATGTTGGAGAGTCAGGGATGACACAGATGGATATGAGGCAAATAATGCGGATGTTACAACAGATGGATCATAATATTAGGGGAGATATGCACAAAATGGATAGTAATATTAACAATATTAGGGGGGATATGAACAAAATGGAAAATAATATTAAAGGAGAACTTAGGGAAGAATTAATTAAAATGAGGGAAGAAATCAAAGAAGAAGTGAAGATAGTCAGGGAAGAGATGCTACAAATTACCCAAGGTTTAGAAGAGAAAGTAGAACAGGTCAGAGGAGAAAGTGAGAATTTTAAGAGGAATGTACAGGAGGAGATATCCAGAGAAAAGGCCATAATTAGAGCGGAAATAGGACAGGAAATTGGGAGCAGATTTGTAGAGTTGGGAACAGCCATTAAAGAGAATTTACCAATGGAAATAAACAAAGAAGTTAATAAGCAGAATAAAGAGATTGTTAGGGAGGTAGAAAGTGTTAAAAGGCAAACTCAGGATTATGAGGAAAAATTTACCATTATAAAAAATAATATAAAGAAGGGATTGCAGAATTTGGAACTGGAAATGGGTATGCATGCAAATCAGGC